AATAGCATATGTATCTTTGAAATCTTCAAAAACCACATCACCATCTTCTTCCTCATCCTCATCTCTAACCTTTCCATAAACACTATAATCCTCACCATTCTCGTCCGCTTCAGCAACATTAGAGCAAACAGAGATTTCAGCATCCTCCTCCTTATCATCCTCCTCCCCATCATGATTTTCATCTCCAACCAACTCATTATCACCTTCATCTTCAAAACATTCATCAGCTTCTTCCCTTTCCTCCGAAACCGTTCCCACCTTGCTACGACTTGATACACAAAGACATACTCTATGAGTTTTGAGTATCTCGAGCAAGTTATGAACTTGTCTATCACTTGTAACATGAATGGGAGGGGTGTCTGGAGCCATCATCATTTCTGCTGGTAATGAATATCTAATCTCCACAGTGAATGTGCTCATGTCCAGGTTATAATCTTCTCGTGCCCTTGCAACAAGTTCAGCATGTGTTGAATCTTCATTCAATAAAAACAATCTTGCTCCTTTGAGATCATCAGCCACAAAATCCCAACGGCAATCTTTCAACAACATTCTCCATACACTGCATCTAACTGACGAATCATCTGCAAAAATTCAAAATAAAACACATTAGTAAACATAGAGAATTTCATGAAAGTTTACTAAACATCGTCTGGACGACATACCAGTAAGTCGTCCGGACGACACCCGTAAGTCATCCGGACGACACCCGTAAGTTGTTCGGTCGACTTACCTGTAGCTCATCCATTGAGGTCATTTTTGCAATTGAAATTTAAATGGGACGACTTACTTCTAAGTCGCCCAGCTTTGTTTGTTAAAAAAAAAAATACCAGACGACTTATAATTAAGTCGTCTAAGTAAAACGGGCTACTTTTGCATTTGACCGAATTGAGTCAGATATTTGACTTTTCTGGACGACTTAAAATTAAGCCGTCTATGGGAAAGTTAAAATATCAATATTTTATTTAATCGTCTCAGGTTAGTTTTGCAATTCAAAATAAAACTTAAATTTTTAACTTCTCCAGACGACTTAATTGGAAGTCGTCCGATCAGACGACTTATATTAAAGTCGTCCAGGATAAGCAAGGTTTGACCAGAAAACTCGAAAAATATTCTGGACGACTTTGATTATCCTGGACGACTTTAACATAAGTCGTCTGACCGGTCGACTTTTAATTAACTCGTCTGGAGAAGTTAAAAATTTAAGTTTTATTTTTGAATTGCAAAACTAACCTAAGACGACTTATCCGTAAGTCGTCTAGATTTAATAAAATATTGAAATTTTAACTTTTCCAGGGACGACTTAATTTTAAGTCGTCTAGAAAAGTCAAATATCTGACCCAATTCGGTCAAAAGCAAAAGTAGACCGTTTTACCTAGACGACTTAATTATAAGTCGTCTGGTGTTTTTTTTTAACAAACAAAGCTGGACGACTTAGAAGTAAGTCGTCCATTTGACCAGAAGACTTATCCGTAAGTCTTCTACATCCAGATGACTCACGGGTAAGTCTTCTATGCGAACAGATCTGGAAAAAAATTCAATTTCAAACCTTAAACTATGTGAGATGACTTCTTTTGCACACAGAGTCTTCTCCAACCACCCAGAACATCGAACGAAAGTAACCCACCAACAATTGTACGCTTAAATGGCTCTATAAACCATAAAAAATTTGCCATCAAAAGCTTGGGTTTTTGGTATGAATATGGAGACAAAGTGAAGGAGATGTTGTTTTTAGTTCATAACAATTGAGAAAGAGAGTATGAGTATCGATTTTAAGTGGATTAAAAGCTTCAAACCTTGGTTGTACAAGGTTGTTGGGTTGTACAAGATTGTTGGGAGTATTCATGGCAATGGTAATGTTGTAAATACTTGAAGATGATGAGGTTGAGAGAGTAAAAAGACCATTTTCGAAAAAAGTAAAAAAAAATTAATGGCACTTTCGTAAATAAAATGAAGATGTGGGGTGAATAGAACAAAAACAAGATGAGTTAAAAGAAAAAGTTAGTTTTATGTTTAACTATTGAGTTTTGAGTCAATTTTGCAAAAAGCCCTACAAATTAACTTATTGGATCCCGATCATTATACAATTAAAGTGGTGGTCACAAAATATATATTTAGAAGCAGTTAAAAATATATGGTTTATTTTTTTGAAGTAGATAACATGAAAAAAATTTATTGGACTAAACATATATCAATATTTCATAATCCTAATTAAATATGGAATGTAAAGTATTATTTGTTGATTATAGCTAAATTAAATGATATTTTAGTTAAAAAAACATGAATGGTTAGACCCTAATGGTATAGTTATATTTTAGAATGTCATAGTTTTGAATCATAAACTTTTATATTGACATTATATATGCAAACTTGTAATACTATGTATGTTTGTTTTATACAGTATATTGGTATCGGGCATGAAGAAAGCAACGCTGATAATAATAAAAATATTTGATGTCATTGATTTTGTCATGAATACTGTGATTAATTAGATATAGATGTAATATATATTTTAGCGGAAAAGTTATATTCATATTTTTTCTTTGCTCATATATAATGTATACGTGAATTTATTTGGTTTAAATAAAAGCAATGGGTCCTTAAAATGTAGGAAGTAAAATGGAAGTTATAATAAACTGAAAATTACTCATATTTATATGTAAACTAATGGCAGTTAGTTAGTAAAACGTTGGAATATATAACTGGACTGAACAATAGACAAAAATAATTTGAAAAAAATAATTTTCTTTTGATTGCTAATATCTTCTTTAGCTTTGATAACATGTCTGCAATAGACAAAAATAATTTGTAAAAACTGAACAATAGTAAGATTGACGCTTAATATTTTTTCTTTATTCAGATTTGCAGCATAAATTATGAAAGTTAATGAGAAACTAACGTAGAGAAATAAACAGATAAGAAGAAAGCCGTCAAAATCAATTTGTAAAATAGCTTGTTGTTGAAATGATTTAAAGTTTATTCGAATTAATCCTAAGCAGTTTTAGGTGCAAAAGGTGGGGATCATGAGTGAAAAAGGTGGGGGGGGGGCGGGGGGAATGGTTTAAAGACTTGTGCAATTTTATTTTTCATCGTAGTAAATTTTACGGAGAATATGCTGAATAACCAAAATCATAAGTGTAATTAAGTATATGAGTTTATTAAATGATTAGAAATGATTGATCAACTAATATTCCCTTCATTTCAGAATACTTTCATTCTAGGCTTAAAATTTTGTCACAAATTAAGTGACGTTTTAGAATTTCGAGGTAAAATTTATTAGTTTATATAATATTCTATTTTCTATTGGTTGAAAAGTGGTTAAGTGTATAGGTAACTGTGTTTTTATTTTGAAATATGTAAAATTAAATGTTTTTTTAATCTGTGTGAAAAATATAGAACGACAATTAAATTACGTAAAATGGAGGGAATGGTAAATTTTAATATATGTAAATTAAACATATTCTCTCTCACGGTTTCCTAGTTAATAAAATACCAAAATTCTGAGAATATTAATTTATAGAGTTTGTACTGGATATTGTAAATAAATAAATATGTTGAACTGTTTTGGCAAATATAAACAAAAAAAAGAATAAATAACATTTATCTTTTTAGTAAAATAAAAATAAGGAAAAGCCCTAATAACTACTTATTAGACCTAACTCTCATGGGTAAAAGTTACAGTTGTAGAACATACATGGTCGCAACTCCGGCGTCATTGCTCCCCGGTACTCTGACAATGAAACCCATTGTTCAAGCGCCATGGTGAGTTTTTTCAATCGAACTTTGAGTGCTGGTAATATCTGAATTATGGTTTAGCCTTTGTGTTCTTACGTTTTATAATCCACATGATCAGTTCACAGCTTTCACTAAATATACGCAATATTCGAAACATATATATGTCTAGCTCCATTATTGTAATATCCCTTGATGATTAACAATGCATTCTTCTTCTTCTTTTAATTGTCGGATACAGTATAAAGGCTAGAGAAAATCATGGATCAAAGAAGAAGAACAAGTGTACTACAGGAGATTTAAATATTCCTTCAGAGCTCTTGCAGGAGATACTATCCTACCTCGGACCAAAAGACAACAAAAGAGCTTCCCTTGTCTGCAAGGCATGGTGTAAAGCAGCTGTTTATGTCAGAAAGTTTCTCCCACTTCCTTGGCTTTTCTATGGATCAAATAAAGACGGAGAATACATTCTTTATGACCCATCAAAGTCTCAAAGATTCAAACAAAATATGCCAGAGTTGAAGGGCCATGTACCCATTTATTCTAGGGATGGTTGGTTGTTTATGGCAAATAGGAAGAAAACAGAATTCTTTCTAAACCCGTTTACCCGGGAGTGTATTAACTTACCCAATAATTCACGATTTTTCCCAAGCGAATGCTTAGCTTTCTCAGCTGCTCCTACATCAAGTAGTTGTCTGGTGGTCACCTTCACCCACCAAATAACTTCCAAAAATCGTTTTGTGATCGCTACTTGGCGACCAGCTGGTGAAACCGTGTGGACCTTCCATCGTTTTCGTAACAAATCATCCTGTGGTAAATGGGACAAATTTGTCTACTCGAATGGTGTATTTTATGGTTTCAGTAATTGCGGCTTCGTCGGTGTTTTCGACCCGTGTAACGCAACCTGGAAGGTTCTTCCAGTGAAACCTTGGGACTGTCCTGCCTTTTGTCAGATAGATTTCAGTATGAAAAATGTGTTGATGATGGAGCATAGTGGAAACATTTTTGCTATGTCTAGACAGCTCAACAACAAGTCCCCGGTGTTTAAACTAAACCTTGAACGCATGTTATGGGAAGAGAACCGTGAAGTTTGTGGCTTGTCAGTATTCGCAAGTTACCCTGAATCTGAGAGGAACAGAACATATCCGTCGGCTAATGTGCAACTTAGCCAGTACTGCTCCCTTGTTAATGAGAAAAGCTCTCGTCCACCTACAAGTACATATTTGTCTAAACGTGTTGCTTGGGTGGCTCCACCTGATCACAACAACAACGTTAATTTGTGACTTGTTCATATTTTATGGTTTCTTAGATGGACTTTTTTTCATTTTAGCGTTTTTAGATTTATATATAATCCAGTGCCTACTCTTGACGAGACAAAAGTGTTTTCAGTCTAATCCTAGCTCTGATACGAGTTAATTAGACAAGTGATTTTCAGTTTTGTTGAAGCCGGGTTTCACCCCACTCGAGACCCAATCCAAGATTTTAGCCAAAACGTAATAGAGAGACCAAATCAATAGGTCCATGGATCTCTTCTTTGCCACCCTTATCGTTCGTTATGCTTTAATGTTAGTATATCTCTGATTGTATTCGCTCAAGTCCTAGACTTTTGTAACCTATTGGTTTGCATTAAATTAGTAATGTAGTTGTCGTGTTATAAACAGAATCCAAGATCGACTCAAATCCGGAATTCAGATTTAGTTTCTTCTTCCTCTCATCAGCTTATTAATACTCAAACACCGATCGAGTTGCAATCTTTTGATTTTCTTTGCTTATTCATCTGCCTGATTTTCGTTGTAGTAGATGAAGCTTACACCGTGAAATCACTTACCTCGGAGATCACTAATTAAAGACAGAGCAACGATGGTGCTTGTGTTGAAGTGCAGTGGGCAGTGGGATCGTACATATCTGCCGGCTTCATACGTCTTGATTATCTTATCTCACATGTTAAATCTTAAACCCATGTCACTTTTTCTTTTTTTTACTTATCTTGGTTTCAATTTGTAAATGGTGATGTACATTGGGCTTCAAACAAATATATGTGTATAGTTTTAAGGCTTTTTAAAATTGTAAATTGAAAACGGGCCGACCTATTTAAAAAAAATAAATTCATACGAATCGTCGTCTATAAAACAGTGGGAAGTTAAAACCCTAATTTCTTGTTGAAACAATGGCGACCATCTCTGATCTTCCGTTTGATCTGGTAGAAGAAATACTCAAAAGGGTTCCTATAACCTGTGTAGGAGCAGTGAGTTCGACTTGCAAAAGATGGAACACTTTATCCAAATCCCAAATTTTATGTAAAGCAGAAGCAAAGGATCCATATATAGGGTTCATGATAAAGAATTCTAAGCTGTGTTCATTGAGATTTGATATCCACGAAGAATTCGCTGTAAAAGAGATAAGTGATTCATTTAATCAAGCTGAGATATGTGAAGTTCTTGTCTGCGACGGCTTGTTGTTATGCGTCACCCAGACAAGGAACCATATCCAACGCCTCATGCTCTGGAACCCGTATCTGGGACAAACAAGGTGGATCCGACCAAGAATAAGAGCGTTCGACAGATCAGACGTATATGCTCTCGGATACGACAAGTGCACCAACCGTAACCACAAGATCTTAAGGTATAATTATAGTCCCGGGGAAGAGGTATGCGAAATCTACGATGTTAAGTCCGATTCATGGAGGACTCTTGATGTCGCTCTACACTGGGGCTGGGGCGTAGAATACGGTCATTTCAGCGCATCTCTGAAANGTTCGACAGATCAGACGTATATGCTCTCGGATACGACAAGTGCACCAACCGTAACCACAAGATCTTAAGGTATAATTATAGTCCCGGGGAAGAGGTATGCGAAATCTACGATGTTAAGTCCGATTCATGGAGGACTCTTGATGTCGCTCTACACTGGGGCTGGGGCGTAGAATACGGTCATTTCAGCGCATCTCTGAAAGGAAATACTTATTTTTTGGACTTCTGTGGAGATGATGAGATGTTCAGTGGTTTCCTTCTCTGTTTTGATTTTACAACAGAGAGATTTGGAGAGCAGCTTCATCTGCCCTGGTCTCAAGGCCCTAGATTTTATGATAGGGTTACTCCTATCTCTTGTTTTCGAGAAGAGAAACTCGCGGCTTTATATATCTGCAATCCTATACATGGGATGGGAATTTGGGTTACAACTAAGACTGAGCCCGATGAGCTGTTGTGGAGCAACCTTTTTAAAATTAATTTGGAAACTCTCCCTTGTGATGAATCTTTTGGAGATGGCAGTTTCTTCATTGATGAAGAGAAGAAACGGGTTGTGGTTTTTAGTTATGGCTGCGCTACCAATACCATGTCCGAGGAGGAAGACTTGTACAACGCGGCTTACATCATTGGAGAGAATGATTTCTTTAGAATAGTGGATCTTGGAGGAACTAATAACACTTACTATTGTCCAGATGTGTGCTCCAACTCTTATGTTCCAAGTTTAGTGCAAATCAAACAAAAGGAGAGAGAAGAAGAGGAAGCAGCTCTAGTCTAGTCCTACTTATGCAAAAGAAAAACAAGAAATGGAATTTTAATTTGCCCTTTTTACAATAATATGTAATTTGTTTCTTGCATCAAATTAATCCTTTTATTCTTGTTTTAGTTGCTGCAATGTACTACTGTTAACAAGCCTAGTCATTCTGAAACTTGATTGAAGAATATACTTATTTTCTCTTTTATCTCCACCCGGTCATATAGACTCATAGTGAACTAACAACCCTCGCCAATTTCTAAAATGTTTGCTTTAAGTAAATATCTTGTCTGAAATCAACAGCATAAGGTACGCACAACTACTATAATCAACTTCAAGGCAGTTTGTGTTTTATGTCCTGCCTATGCATAAATCAATATATAAACTTTGAAAACAACTTTTTTCAGTAAAAAACGTTCAAAGCAATTTTTTTTTTTTTTTTAATTATAATAGCATCGTAAACATATGTAGAATATATTTGTGTTGTAGGTTTTGATTACGAAATCCATTCAGGTTTCTAACAGGAAAAAGAAGCAAAAAGATAAGAAAAGGCCAAAACAAAAAGGGTCTTAAAACAAGACTTGCAATACACTCCATCATATCGTATCTTTAAATTAAGCAATCGGGATCAAATTGGGAGTGTAAACACAGTGACAACACCTGGAAATCCCAGAACCTATTTGAATCTTCTTACACAAATCTTCCCTCACAATATGTAGATGCAAGGCACTCCAGTTACATCGTCGCAACAACACATGAATAAGGTATCCTCATATGTGAAGTAACTAACGCAACGAAAAAACGGTCGCGGTAACTTACCTGATGGCAAAGTCATCAGTTTTATCCACACCACTTCCTCTTTATCGATCTTATTCGTTTCCCAAATCTCAATTTTCCTTGTTACATAACATTGTTTCAACAACGAAAACCGATCTCCCTTAAAAACTCCGAGAAGAAGTTCATCATATATTGATTGTCTACTTGACACGGAAGGAGAATAAAGGGTTTAAAAGTATTCACAGAGAAATCAAACCTTTGGATGAAGTACTCATTAGTCATGACACCATCACGAGTCAACCAGTAGAGATTTCCATTTCAAGGACACACTTGTTCGTTTATTTGTGTCACTCATGAGCCACGTTCTGTCAGATGAATCTATATATATAAAAGTGTGAGATGCGCATGAGTAGATCGCAACTCTCTTGTCATCGTCCAAAAAGTAACCCAAGATCTTGTAAAGTTTTTTTGTTTCTTCTACTAGTATATCCTAGGCCGAAATTGTTAAACTTTCTATCGTAGTTCTCAATTAGTTTATATTGGCTCAACCACGGATTCCAGATAGCTAACAAGTCACTCAAATACCAGTCGTTACAAAACAAGACTTCATCACACGCCTTGACGTTTGTTCAATTCAAATAGCTCACACAACTCTATCGCTGGATCGATGCAGTCGGGATTGATGATGCCTATTGAATCATTTTTTGGACTTGGCCAGGAATATGAATTGGTGAGAGGAGCTGAGACAAATGATTGTTGAGAAAAATCTTGTTGTTGAAAAGAGCGTACTATCGTTGACATACAGTTCTGAACCGAACAAGAGATCGAAGTGGACGACGAAGAAGTATATCTTCCTCCAGTTCCCATGGAGTCTGCTTCACCTGCGGAGCCACTAGGTCTACTGTTTTTAAAATATTAGTTTCCAAGTTTTAAATCTCTACAAAATAATTGGAGAAAGTAATTGTATTTTTTTTTTCTTTTGGGAAAAGGAAATATTGGCAATAAATGTATCATTGCCAAACCCTAATAAAGCCCACAAAAGTGAAGTGTGGATTGCAAATCCAGTCGTTGATGTGATGTAATCCTTCTTCCGTTTCTAAATAAGTGTAATTTTAACACTTTTCACGTAGGTTAAACTTTTCACGAAATTAAGAAAATTGTAAAATAAATTAATATATTTTTATTTAATGTATAATTAATTAAATGAGAATGATTTGAATAAAAATCTACTGGTTATTCAAAATGGTAAAAAATAGATTTAATATACAAAGTTACATCGAGATAATAGAATGACATTTTTTTGGAAACAAAATTTAAAAAAAAAACATAAAGTGACATTATTATGAAACAGATGGAGTATAAAAAATGTATAAAGAGTCTAAAAAAAGGTCATATTAATATCAAAAATAAACAGACTCAATCAATTATAAAAATTAGAAATGTTCGTCTAAGCATGTCGTCTAAACAAATATCTCTTTGTCCTGGTGATGGTTGTCCAAGATGATCTCCTTCGAATAGGAGAGGTCGTCTGAGACTTCTATTGGTAGTCGAATTGGTTATCTCTAGTTTTTCATTTTCTATACATTTATGTATGTTTCTGTATTTTTCTCTATGTTTCATCAATGATTCTGACATCCTATATAAAGACAAAACTGAAACAGAAATATAACAGAGGAAGAAGATAACTGAATAATACTCTTATTTCTCAAGTTCTCAACGTCATACAAAGGTTTTACATTTATAGGATAAACTAAAGGATCTAGTGATGAGACAGCTGTGACCTCAGCAGCTGGCCATTAGCAAAGGAGAGAATCTATTGGCTAGTTATGTTGACTGCTTTAACGTCCCTAAAGCACAACTTCCTTGTGCTCTCTCTTTAGTGAACGTTGCAGGTTTGTCTTGTAGCATAGACACCATAGTGGGCTTCTGTTGATGGACTTGTGACTTCTTTAGTTGCTGGACTTGGGCTACATTAATATCCCCTCGCAAACTCATGGTGGGTGAAGAC